GATTGGCCTTTATATAAGCCTAACAGGATGGCAAAACAAATCAGTCTCCTAGCTGGATCTTAAGGGTTTCAGTCTAGTTGGGTGGATTTTTAAGCCACTATTTGCATGACAAATTGACCAATATCTTGCAAGATTGTGGCCCAGCCAATCATTTTGTGGGAGTTACAAGACTTTGGCTAGAAAGACCATATAAAAGCAGTTCACTGCACTGTACTTATAGAAAACTTATACAGAGAAGCAAGAAACGATGATAGAGTATTTACAGGAGTCTAAGTCCTTTGGTAGGGACCCTGGTGGCACAGTGGTTAAGGGCTCAGCTGCTGACCAAAAGATCAATGGTTCAAACCCACCAGCTGCTCCGTGGAAGAAAGATGTGACAGTCTGCTTCCATAAAGATTGCAGCCTTGGAAACGCTATGGGGTAGTTCTACTCTGTCCTATAGGTTTGCTTTGAGTCAGAATCGACTCAACAGCAATGGATTTTTTTTTTAGGTCCCTAGGTGGAGCAAATGGTTAAGTCCATGACTACTAAATTAACGTAAAGGTTGGTGGATCAAACTCACTCAGCAGTGCCATGGAAGAAAGGCCTGGAAATCTGCTTCTATTAAGATAATAGCAAAAAAAAAAACAAAAAAACCCTATGGAGCAGTTCTACTCTGTAGCACATGGGTCACCATGAGTCAGAATTGACTAGATGGCAACCAGTTTGGGTTTTCTTTGTTTATGGAGTATGGGCAGTGGTTTTGCACTGTTTTATGCTGATATGGGTGGTTCAGCAGAAAGATATGAAATGGTTCTACAGGAAGATGAGGACAGAGTTTCAAGCAAAGTCCTTGAGCAGATGAGAGGAGATCCAGGGAACAGAAAGAGGTGTCGACACGGTGGATATTTACATGCCAACATACACAATTTGTAGTTTCATAGTTTTCGAAGATTTTTATTAAAAAATATGGGTATTAGTCTTTTAGATCAGGGTCTTATATTTAAATGGCTTAAAAGGTTTTACGGTTTCAAAGCATCACAATAGAGAAAATCCATTTATATTATGCACTGTAGTTGCTCTGATCATTTTCGTGTAGCTCAATAAATCTGAATGGAATATGTGAACTCTCATATTTTCTAACAACTCTGGATTACTTTCCCTGGCAGAATGGACATTATCTCAGTCATGCCCTTCTGTAAATTTAACCACCACACAATTCCCAGCATACACATTTTTTCTCCGTCAGGTATTTTTGAAAATATTCAGACGAACCATCTAGAAACAACTTTGTTTTGACGTGTTTAACACAGAGTTAATGTTTTAATATTCATAAAATGCTGAATTAATTAAAAAAAACAATACAATGTGTCACAAGTTAGTACTTACAGAGACATTCAGTGTGTGTTCACTTCTTGAATGTTTCAATGAACTTCAATCGCAAATAAAAATCTGTTTTTGTAAGCATTGGCAAGTGTTCAAGAAATGAAGTGTCATCTGGGGCAACTTCACTGGTAGAAACAGCAGATAAAGAGTTCTTTTTGCCTCCATCATACAGCAAGACTGACCAAAGGCCATCTAAGGCCAATGACTGGACACTGACCAATATTGTCAAGAAAATTGTTATCAGTGTGTGATTCTTAGCACAACCACAAACCTGAAGATCTCTTAATGATATCTTACTATTAGTTTTTGTCATATAGCTATTATTTCATGATGTAACAGAAATAAAATGATATATAAAAATATATTTCAAATATAACATTGAATATATTTTGCTTTATGAAAAACTGACTATATTGTTATTGCTTTGTTCATTTCCCGGGATAAGTAAAGACTTACTTACAGGCCAGCACCTCTCATTGGCAGACTGGTAGATTACTCAAACTTTCATCGACATTGGGTGCGGGAGGTTTGTGCACAAGGACAGGTAGCATATTTACCCTAAAAGCATTCTGGGTACACAGGGTTTGTCATTTTACACAATAACTATGGAGTCCCTGGGTGGTGCAAATGGTTAATACACTGGGCTGCTAACTGAAAATCTGGAAGTTCAAGTCCACCCACAGGTGCCTCAGAAGAAAGACCTGGTGACTTACTCTTAAAGGATCACAGTATGGAAAACTTCATGAAGCATATCTACTCTGACACACATGGGGTGCCATGAGTAAGAATTGACTCGATGGCAACTTTTTCTTTTTTTTTTTTTAATTACTAGCCATAAAGAAGGACCTGCAGCTGTGGCTGAGATTGCTATGATCCCTACATTCTCTCAACTGCCCTCAGGCTGCTGATCCCCGGAACTGAAAATCAAGCTTCCTACCTTGATTTTCAAGGTGAAGCCTCTAACGGCACCCGATAATAAAGCGTTTCTGACAGCAAGCCGCTAACACAGTTAATATGGAAAATGAAGACCTGGCTGAACTCTTATCATTAAGGAATGTGTGCACAGGAAAAAAAGACAGGGTGGAACCAAATAACCTAAAATACTCAAATGTCATGTAATTCTCTGAATGAGACTGAAGGAAAATTTAGACAGTATAGGTTAACTTTGAACCATCTATAAAATTCAAAATACACGTTTTGTGTAGAACAAGAAGTTAAATGTGAAGTAAAAACTGATAGATTATTATACAAATTGAAATGGAGGAGAGGGAGGCAGAAATTTAATTTTTGAAAATTTTAGGAAGTGAACATACAATGGAGCCCTGGTGGCGCAGTGTTTAAGAGCTTGGCTGCTAACCAAAATGTCCACAGTTTGTGTCCACCAGCCGCTGCTTGGAAGCCCTGTGTGGCAGTTCTTCTGTGTCCTGTAGGGTCGCTATGAGTCAGAACTGACTCCACAGCAACAGGTTTTAAACATACAATAGCAAGATTTTAAATACAAAGCAGAAGTTTGGAGGTGACGGCAGGAAGAGGGGGAAAGATAATTCTTTCAGAATAGATATCTGAATCCCAATTCTAGCTGAAATCATCAAGGAAATATTAAACTTTGAGGAGGGGCCATAGAACATAAGGACAAGAAGCTACGGAAGGCTACCTTTCTATTGTAAAAATCATTGAAGAATTTTTTTGCTAGATTCAGTTCTTAAAGGATCATATTCTAAAAGGAGAGTTAGAATTTGCCAGCCCTCGCCTCCTGAAAAGGTAGCATGGTCTTTTTAAACCTTAAACCAAAAATATCTCCTGAAGTATTCTTGAAACCAAGCAATCGTTTAGCTTAATCAGTGAAAAAAAAGTGTCTGCCTTGAGCATTGTGCTCTTTTAAGATCTATCTATATGGGATCAAACTGACAACCTGAAAGATTGGATAAGAAACTTAGGGGCAGTGAGTTTATGTTCATGGAGGAGGAACCACTCTGAAAAGGAGAGTGAGAACGGTTGCACAACTTGAAGAATGTAGTCACTATCGCTGAATTGTACATGGAGAAACTGTTCAATTCGTGTATGTTCTGCTGTGTGTATTCTCAACAACAACAACAGAAACTAAAATATATTATTTAAAAAAAAAAAAAAGGTAGCATGGTCTTAAGGTCAGTGAGTAGAGCTGCTCTCCTACCCAGGAAGCCCTCGGAGTTTGGAAGTGATTGCTTGGGGGTTGCAAACCCTGCGAGTGACAGGAGCCTCCAGCTGAAGTCCTTGTGTCTACGCAGGAACATGTACAATATTTTGCCTGCTCATAGAGTTCTTATTGCTGTCGGTTGCTGTTAAGTCAGATTAGACTCTTGACAACCGTAGCTAAAACAGAACCAGACATTGCCCAACCTTGAGCCAACTTCATGATTGTTGGTATGTTCAAGTCCATTGTTGCAACTACTGTGTATTTTGAGTGCCTTCCAACCTAGGCGGCCTCGTCTTCCAACACTCTATCAGACAATAGTCTGTTGTGATCCATAATGTTTTCATTGGTTAATTTTCAGAAGTAGATCACCAGGCCTTTCTTCCTATTCTGTCTTAGTCTAGAAGACTCTGGCCCCAGCCACCAAATGCCACTAGTACACAAGTATTTTCCTGTAATTGTGATATCCAAGATGGACCTAGAGACCATGTCATTCCCACTCCCTCTTGAGATTCATTTACTACGCAATTAGAGACCAAGAACAGGCAAACTGAATTTTTTCTGTCTTTATTCTGTAAATACTGATGAATAGGATCTTTTGTATTATGGAATATCGACTTTCTATATTTTGGGTACTATTTCTTATTGGCTCACAAGAAAAAGGTACTTTATTATAATATATAGTAATATAGAGAAAAACATAATTGCCTGAACAGACATATATAATATCTGGAAGAGATTATAATACAATCTACAAGCTAAAAGACATTATGATAGAAAAATATAGACATAAAAGAACATTAATGAAATCCCCACAAATAATTTAAAATCTTTAAAAATATCTTACTATATTTCTTTATTTTTCTTACAAATTTTATGTGTCAAAGGGAAAAAACTAAGAAAATAAATGTGAAAAGATGACAAATGAGAAATAAAAGAAGTTAAACTTTAAAAAAAGAATAAAAGACAGAAAGAAGGCAATTTAAACAGAATAAAAGACAGAAAGAAGGCAATCTGAAGCAGGAAAAATTGGGAATAAGTTATGTATGCAGTATGTTGCTGTTTTTTCTTCCTCAAAATTAATTTCTATGACTCAGTTACTTTAGTAAACATAGAAACTCACAGGGTATTTCTTATTCATCTGATGAACTGGTGAACTCATCAAGTGATAAATTAAAAAAAACTTTAAATACTGAAAATTTACCTAGCTGAACAAAAAAAAAGTTTCCTTCATTCATTCAGTTCTTTACTTCACATCATTAACTGCTTCAGGTTTTCTGAAGCATTAAATATGAAATTGAATCAGTTCTTTGGAAGTTTCAAGTGTATGAAACTTTAGGGAGGGGAGAGAGGAGAGCCTGTATATCAACATAGTCATTACTAGAGGTTCTTGAAAAAAATCACTGTTTAACATGTCAAAAGTCACAATTTATGACACAAATATTGGAAAAATCTACTCAGAACCTGGTAAAAAAAAAAAACTATATTATTTCATATTTTAAAGGAGTCTAATTTTATTACTTCAAGTACATTTTTTCATCCATTCTTCAAATATTCACAGAGGATCTTTTTCATACAGCCTAATCTAATAGTCAAAATTAATGGTTTTTCTATATATTTTTCAAGAGTGTTATTTAATGTTGTTTTTCTTTATTTAAAGACACGTCATCTTAAGGGTAGAATGTAATTCTCTATATTTAAGGAAAATCCAAGTTAACTGTAACCTAGGACATCTAAAATTTTTTTCAGACAACAGAAAAGGAAAAAAAGTTTAATCACTTCCCTTGGGAACTCATTTTAATGCCTAGCAGCACACTGATCAGGAATATTCTCTAAGTCATGGTTTCGCCGTTATTCAAATAGGTTCAGTAAGCTTTTACATGATTTTTTTGAGGAACAGTATAATTGTTGATATTGAGAGAATTAAGCCTCATGTCCATGAACTTGAGCTTTCAAAGAACAAACCTAGTAAACCTTGTTATGATAGAAGGCCATGAGTTCTGCTTCTCTTGATTTCTAGATAAGTGGCTTCCCACCACATTTGTGATAATTGAGAACAGTTTCTTATCATTCTTCTCCCATCTCTGTTTTTTTGGAAGGGGAATGAGTTGAGTGGGCTTTCTTATGCAGTTAGCCAGGTAGAATTTGTATCTTTGGGGATGGATCATGGCCAGAAGAACCTACCTAAAGTGAACTGGAGTGAAAAGATGGATGAGTTGGTCCAAAACCCTAAGAAAAGACCAAGCTTCAGACCTAGTAAACCAGAATGAATTAATAAAACTCTAGAAATACCAGTTCCTAGATGAACCTAGCAGACATTTTGTACTGGAAAATAAAGCAGTATTGCAACTCTGAGTGCACTGAACATCACTGGTCTTCATATGGACATCATTCAGAGATCTGTAGGGATCAAATAATGACTGGAATGAGTGCTCTTGACATTTTCCATTTGTTTGGCTGCACAAAGGCATAGTTTTGATCAATTATCGAAATAATCATTCCTGCCTCCCCTGTGTCCATTTCCACTTCCAATATAAAGGAAGTAATTATGAACACTGCAGTTTGTGGCTAACGGCACAAAAGGCAGTTCCGTAGGTCAATTATCTTTTGCTTAAACCAGTGGCTTCCCCCCAAAACAAAGAGCAGTAAATCAAAACAGCTAATCGCTGTTACACTCAAGAAGATTTCGTTATAAAATACATTACTGCCACAGGGTTCCGGGCGTGCCACAACTTGCAGATAGTAGATCCTAAAGAACTGACAGGGAAGGAAGCAAGTAAAGATGACCCCTATAAAAAAGAGGTTTTTCAGCTGGGCCCAGAACTCCTGGTGAGATAGCAAGGAGTGGCGTATCTTCCGCACCATCGACACGATGATGAAGACCTGGAAGGCCAAGAGAATCACTGCGATGGCTATGACAATAATGATTATCATATAGTTGATAACTCGCACATGCTTACTAGCAAGTTCTCTGTGGAACGTAAAACAGTGTTTCTCATCATATTTTTCCTTAGTCCCATACTGAGAAACAACCAATGGTACCACAATGACAATTACCAGCAGCCACATACCAGCACTGGCAGCCACAGCATGCAGTTTTCTGTAGAATTCTACTTTGTCCTTGCGCTTAAAGAAGATGAGGTACCTGATGACCAGGATCACCACATAGAACAGGAATGTGAGGTACATGTGTATGTGCAGCATGGAACTCACAAATTTGCAGAAGGACAACCCAAATATCCAAGTCTGCTTGATGAGGTAGATCAAGCGAAAAGGCACCGTCAGGAGAAAAACACTGTGTACCACCACTAGGTTAACAACGGCGGTGGTGGTCACAGACCTGGTGTTCATTTTCATCAGCAGGAACAAAATGGAGATGACACCCAGTAGTCCTCCGACAAGCACTACGCAGTAGAGCCAGGTTAAATAGGGTGTCCCTACAGGATTGTATGAGCAGTTCCTGAAAACAAGGTGGTCCCTGGTAATGTTGTGGTCAACCATGCTTCAGGAGTCACCTGGAAGAGACCAAGCACTGGTGTAACTGACAAACTTCCACAGAACTTTATTCATATCACCTTCATGGCATTGGCAACGTGGCTGTGTAATTTACCCGTTTACATAATGTACACTTTATGTGCCTGAAGAATAAAGACTGTCATATGCACGTTTGCATACCCTGAATCCTAAAACACAGTAAGTCTGATTATTAATCTTTAATAAGTTAAAGACTCTTTGAAATGTCCCAGAGACGTACATACATGAACATAGACAAAACATGTTGCAAAAAACTTCAAGAGGATTGCAGACTACACGAAGCTGAAGCACAGATACTACCAGTACTGTAGTAAGCATGGAAAAAGTTTGTAGGATGGATGGAAAGATGAGTGGATGCATTAAGTACACAAAATACTTTTTTCTTTTACATACCAACAGGAGAATACATCTGAACTTCTCAGTATACTTATCATTTAACAGTGTGGCTTTAGCTAACTTCTTCTCATGGCCCCCTGAAAATACAGCATGTCTCCCAGCTCTCCCATCTTGCACCCTCAAATACCTTAAAAATTCATGGAGGAACCATCAACCAAATCTAAAGTAATATCATTTCTCCTCTGGACTTCTGAAAGAGTCTCTTCCCTAATAGTCTTCATGCCTACTAATTTACTCTCCACATTGTAGCCTTACTAATCTATTAACTACACTAATCAGGTCATGTCACTTTCTTATTTAAATCCCTTCAAAGGCTTCCTGGTTTTTGTTTGTTTGTTTTTTTTTTTTCAGACAAAGATCAATATCCTTAATGTGCCTTCAGAGGCATAGCACGGTCTGAGTTACAGTGGCAACACTGGATCCTTTCAGGCCAGATTCAAGAAATAACTCAGAGGTGAAATTGACACTAGAATGGGAATGCAGGAAAGGGAAGGGTCTTGATCCCTCCAAAACTGCTGACTTGCACAATTGTGTGATTAGAGGACTATTTACTGAAACTGGGGAGACTGAACGATTAACTTTGATGAGGAAGAACAGTTCAATTCCGCACTCAGTACTCACCGTTGTAACATCTTTGCAGTTATTTTTATTCATTTCTTGAACTCTTTTCTATTAGACCTCAACTCCATGACAGCAGACGTTGGTTCTGCTCTGTTAATCCTGTCTCTGCAGGCTGGGCAGAAGGCCTGATCAATAGTAAGTTCTCCAGTATCCACTTAGTGACTTCCAGCTCTCTTTCTAGGAGATGTATCTTACTTAATTTTCCCTTTACATTTTGACCCTGGAAATGTTCCTATTAACATATCTCACTACTGGACTTAGAATTGTCCCCCTGCCATGCCCTACCTGCATATTTGAACCTCCAAGTACAAAGATTACTTAAACCCCTGAACTTGTTCAGACATCCTGTGGCCATCCCCTCTATCCAGGTTAAATATCACCATCCCTTCTGTGCTCTGTTGGACTGTACGTACTCTCAGACTAGGCTTCCCTGTCTCCCAGGTAATTAGATGTACTTGAGTCTGGAGCTCCTTAGCAACTGAATTTAAGGGAAAGAGTGAACATCTTTGATGGTTCAATATTGTTAAAATATTAGTTCTCCCCAAATTGAGCTATAGATTCAACGCAGTCACAAAATCCTATCAGTCCTCTTTGTAGAAAATTACAAACTTATTCTAAAATTTATATGAGAATACAAAGGACTTTGAATAGCCAAAATATTTTTGAAAAAACAAGAACAAAATTAGAGGATTTATATTGGATGATTTCAATACTTACTATAAATCTGCAGTACGCAAGATAGTGTGGCTTTAGCATAAGGAAAGACATAGAGAACAACAGGACAGAATTAAAGAGACTAAAAATGGACCCGCACATCAATTGATTTTCGATGAATATGCCAAAACAATTCAGTGAAGAAAGGTTCTAGAACAATTAAATATTCATGTACAAACAATGACCTTCAACTTTACATCACACATATACAAAAATTTACCAAAATGTTTCACAGACTTAATAGTAAGAGTTAAAACAATAAATTCTCTGGATGAAACTAGGATAAAATCTTGGTGACTTTGAGTTAGGCCAAAATCTCCTGGATAAGACTGAAAAAAATATGAACTATAAAAGAAAAAAAAATACAAATTGGACTTGGTAAAAATTTAAAATTTCTACTCTCCAAGAGACAGTTAAGAAATGAAAAAATAAATCCATACTGTAAGAAAAATATTACAAAGTGTATATATGGCAAAGGACATTTATCCAGAATATTAAAAGAACTCTTACAAATCAATAATAGAGGACAAAGAACTCAGTGTTTTAAACTGGGCATAATATTTGAATAGACACTTTATCAAAGATATATGAATGGTGACTATGCCCAAGAAAATGTGCCCGATCATTGATTATTAGGAAAATACATATGAAAAAAATACATTACCATGTGTTACCATTACATCCCCACTACAATGCTAAACTTGAAAGAATTAAAAACACCAAGTGTTGGAAATGACACGGAGCAACTGAAACTGTCATATATTTGGAACGTGAAATATTATATACACTTTGGAAAAGAGTTAGGCAGTTTCTTAGAAAGTTAAATATACATTTATTATTTCACCTAGCAATCCTACTCTTAAATATTTATCCAAGAGGAATAAAAACATATCTCTGCACATTAACTTGTATTGAATATGCATAGCAGCTTTACTTATAATTGTCAAAAACAAGAAACTACCCAGAAGTCTGTCAGTTGTTAAATGGATAAGCAAATTGTGGACATTCATACAATGGAATAGTGTATTACCATACAATAAAAATCAATCAGCTATTAATACACACAACACTACTGATAGTCTTGAAAGCATTATATACTAAATCACGTCTTCTTCATGGGACAATATTACCCCAAAGGGGGTAAAAATTTGTTTTTGAGGGGTAAAAATCATTAATCTTTTTATTTATAGAGTGCAGATACACATACAGTACCTAAACAGATATACAGTGTAACTGCAGTATTGTTTTTGGCCCCAATTTATGGTGACCTCATGCACAGTGGAATGAAACACTGTCAGGTCCTGTGCCATCTCCATGATCCTCTGCAGAGCCAACTGGTTAGGATCCATAGGGTTTTTGCTGGTCAATTTTCAGAAGTAGATCACCAGGCCTTTCTTCCTAGTCTGTCTTAGTTTGAAAGCTTCACTGAAACCTGTTCAGCATCATAACAACATACAAGATTCCACTTACAGACACTGACAGGGTGGTGGTGGCTGTGCATGAGTTGCATTGACTGGGAATCAAACCTGGGTCTCCTGCATGGAAGGTGAGAATTCTACCACTGAGCCACCACTGCACCATAGATAAAAGATGCCAGGAAGAAAATACTACATATTGTATGATTCCTTTTTTTAAAAAAAGGCAAAACTAGTGTGACAGAAAACAGATCCTTGGTAGCCCAGGGCCCAGGGAAGGGAGGAAGGGATTGACTTTGAAGAGGCATATGGGAACTTATTCTTTGATAGAAATGTTTTACATCATGATGGTAACAATTGTAGTTACTTGCCAAAACTCATTGAATCGCACACTTAGAGTTGTTGATTTTTCTTGCATGTAAATTATACCTAAATAAAGCTGATGTAAAATAATAATAGCCTGACCCCAGAGAGCCTCTGCTTTTGTGGGCATGAAACACAATTTCAAAGAATTTGTGAGCAACTTAACTGGGCAGTTTCTTTTGGTCTCCTCAATAGATTGCCTCGTGTTATACTTATTGTATTTGATGTGTAACCTCTGTACTTGCCTTTTCTTTTTTCCCTGTAGAAACGTAGTTCCATCAAGTAGACATGAAATTATATTGCATTTGCGTCTGAGTCAAAGATCAATGTGCCACCATAAGTTCTGCTCTTCATGTCCTTTGGCTATTGACCTAGCAGGACTGACTTCTGAAAGAAGAAAGTAAAATCAATGAGCATATCACTTGTCTCGAATTCTCTTTCTTATAAACGTCCATGATGTCTGTCTTTCAGGTACAAGAAACACATGTTAAACATCTTCTAGGTGCCAGCTACCATGCTACCTGCTTGGGTGTATGTTGTCTCATTTAACTCTTACAACAATCCTGAGAGTTGTGCAAGTATACTCAATTTTAGATGCAGAAACTGAGCTCCAGACAGAAGAAGTCACTGGACCAAGGACACCAAAGTCACACCCACACACACACACACCCACAAACACACACAAACTCCTCATTGTGAATCATGGAGAGGCTGTGAATCTTCCAAGCTGAAGTTCCTAAATCTCAAAGTAAGAAGGAGGGAAGTCCATGAAAAATTTGGTTCTACTCACATGGCTTATACCAGTAGAGACTGAAAGCTGCTTTCCCTCTTTTTGGACTTCTCACTTTCCTATTCCCTTTACTTGGGTTGGCAGGTCCTATAGATGACCTCATTCAACATCCATTCTAACTCTTTCTGGCCTGCATTCCTGTACAGATTTTTTGCAGCTAGAGTGCTCGTATGTGGCCTCGTTTCTGCTAGTCTGTTGCACTGTTGCAAAATTTAGAGGTAAAAGTGAGCCAAATGAGAGATGTTAATGTGCAGGGAGATCGGATCACTTGGTAAGACAATAATGGAAATGTGGACAGCTATGGCAGAATTCTGGCACCCAGTCCCATACATCATGGGTTTCAGAAAGTCATAGTTAGGGTCAGTGATGTTTCTGCTATCAGGCCCATCTATTGTGTAGCAACTAAGCGTGGTTCTCGGGCATTCCCAGATAGTCTGTAAGCTATTACCTTCTAATAAATACCTTCTGTTCAAACTAGCTAAAGTGGGTTCTGTTGTCTGCAAGAGAAGGAGCCCTGGTAGTGCAGTGGTTAGAGTGCTTGCCTGCTAACTGAAAGGTCAGTTGTTTGAACCCACCAGCCACTCCACAGAAAAAAGATGTAGCAATCTGTGGGGCAGTTCTACTCTGTCCTTTAGGGCTGCTATCAGCTGGTATTGACTTGATGGCAATGGGTTTGGTTGGGTTTTGGTTGGGTTTTGGTCGTCTGCAACTAACAATCTTGATATATCTGGTTAATTCCTACTTCTTATTTGACAGTCAGCTGAGACATCACTTCCTCCAGGAAGCCTTCCTGATCTCCACTCTCAATTCAGGTTATATGCCATTCCTCTTTTGCCCTCAGAACACACTGTACTCACCTATATTATGGCTTATAGCACATAGAAATATAATTCTCAGTGACACTCCTGGATTCCAAATGAAACTTTAATCATCTTGACCCGGGGTTTAATTTATCTTTGTATCCCCAGAACCTAATGCAATTTTTTAAATTAATGTAAATATTTTTATTTAAAGATATCAAACATATAGTACAGGGCACATTGTAAATATAGAGCAATGAATTTTAACATAGTAAGCAAACCCTTGGCACCAGCCTACAGATCAAGAAACCAAATGTAACTGCAACTCCAGAAGAATTTGTGTGCCCTCTGCTGGTTAGTATTCCCCTCTTCAAAGGTAATCACTATCCTGACAGCTACCACCATGAAGTGTTGTTAGGTGCCATCAGGTCAGTTCCAACTCATAGTGACCCTGTGTACAACTAAACAAAACACTGTCCACCAGAAAATAAATTTGTCTATTCTGAATTTTATAAAAATTGAGTCACGTATTTTTGCATGTGTATCTGGCTTCTTTTACTCAGTATTATACTTGGAGATTCATTCATTTGTATAGTTGATGTTCCTTCATTCTCATTGTGGCATATTGTCCCATTGTATGAATATGACAGTATTTATCCATTCTATTGTTGACAGACAACTGTATTATTTCCAATTTTAGGCAATTACAAATAATGATACTCTGAACATTATTATATATATCTTTTGTAAACATCTGTATGCATTAATGTTGGGTATTTACCTAATAGTACAACTGATTAGTCATAGGGTATGTGTACGTTCAGTCTTAGTAAATACTGCAAATACTTCCCGATATGAATTCTCACTAACAGTTGATGAGAGTTTCAGTTCCTCTGCAACCTCAAGGACATTTGGAACTTTCTCATTTTCATTTTTGCCATTGTAGTAGGTATACGAGCTGAACACAATTTATATTGAAGTCTTCTAAAATTTGTCTCAATATGTTTTGTAGTTCTCTATATAGAAGTCTTGTACATGCTTTTCCTGTATTGATTGAGATAAAATCGTATGATTTTTCTACCTTATTTCTATTAATGTAATGTATTAAAACGATTGATTTTTACATCTATCATATTTGCATAGTTTGCATAAAACTCATTTTAATGTGATATATAATTTTTTATATATATTGTTGTATTTTAGATACTAATATTTTGCATGGGATTTTTGTTAGGGGGAAGTTCTAGATCACCTGGATTATCCCTGGGAATGGGGATGACATTTCTAGTCAGAAAATTAGTGAGAATTATCTGTATGGTCCTTTTCTTTTTTTCTTCAAGAGAACATCTCACTGCTTCCGGAATCTGCCTATCGACTTTAACAAAGGAATCAGCATATGGGCCCATATTTTCCCGCAACTGAAGTCACCGATTTAGTTTAGAAAAAACTTCAGCTAATCCTTTCACTGTAAAAACTTTTGACAGCTTCCCTCCTTCCCCTTCCATCTTGTCCAGCTCATCCTTGAATCTTCTGGTAGCTTCAACATTGGTGCTTCCTGCTTTTCTAGTTAAATGCATGTTGAGTAAGTCAAATCTACATTTGAACTGATGAAACCAGCCTTTGCTGACATTAAAGTATTTCCAGTAGTCTTCTCCTTGCTTTTCCTTCAGGTCGTCAAAAAGGCTGTGTGCTTTTGTTTAAATCGTCAGTAAACTCATAGGAATCCTCTTTCTGGATTTGGTCTTCTATCCAAACCATCAACAGCTTCTCTATCTATGGATTGGCCCTTGTCTCTTCTTTATTAAAACTGTCAATTTTATACCAATCGCTCCTTTAACTGACTCCAAAATCCTATTCTTTTTTTCTTTTAATTGTTCTTTGGATGAAGGTTTACAGAACAAACTAGCTTCTCATTAAACAGTTAGTACACATATTGTTTTATGACATTGGTTAACAACCCAGGACATGTCAACACTCTCCCTTCTTGACCTTGGGTTCCCTTTTACTAGCCTTCCTATCACCTCCTGCGATCTAGTCCTTGCCCCAGGGCTGGTGTGCGCCTTTAGTCTTGTCTTATTTTATGGGCTTGTCTAATCTTTGGCTGAAGGGTGAACCTCAGGAGTGACTTCATAACTGAGCTAGAAGGGTGTCCAGGGGCCATACTCGCAGGGTTTCTCCGGTCTCTGTCAGGCCAATTAGTCTGGTGTTTTTTTGTGAGTTAGAATTTTGTTCTACATTTTTCTCCATCTCTGTCTGGGACCCTCTACTGTGATCCGTGTCAGAGCAGTCAGTGGTGGTAGCCAGGCACCATATAGTTGTACTGGACTCAGTCTGGTGGAGGCTGTGGTAGTTGTGGTCCATTAGTCCTTTGAACTAATCTTTCCCTTGTGTCTTTAGTTTTCTTCATTCTCCCTTGCTCCCGAAGGGGTGAGACCAGTGGAGTATCTTACTTACATGGCTGCCCACAGGCATTTAAGACCCCAGACTCTACTCACAAACATTTTCTTTATAAACTATGTTATGCCAGTTGAGCTAGATCTTCTCTGAGATCATGGTCCCCAAAGCCCTCAGCCCAGCAATTCAGTCCCTCAGAGAGTTTGGATGTGTCTATGGAGCTTCCATGACCTTGCCTTGTACAAGTTGTGCTGGCTTCCCCCGTATTGTGTACTGTCTTACCCTTTACCAAAGTTACCACTTATCTATTGTCTCTTTAGTGCTTTTGTATCTGCACCCCTCCCCTCCCTCATAACCGTCAAATATTGTTTCTTTCTGTGTGTAAACCTTTTCATGAATTTTTATAGTAGTGGTCTCATACAACATTTGTCCTTCTGTGATTGACTTATTCCCCTCAGCATGATACCCTCCAGATTCATCCACGTTGTGAGATGATTTGCAGATTCATCATTGTTCTTCATCCTTGCGTAGTACTCCATTGTGCATATGCACCATAGTTTGTTTATCCATTCATCTGTTGATGGGCATCTAGGTTGTTTACATCTTTTTGCTATCGTGAACAATGCTGCAATGAACTTGGGTGTGCATATGTCTATTCATATGACTACTCTTATTTCTCTAGGAAATATTCCTAGGAGTGGGATTGCTGGATCATATGGTATTTCTATTTCTAGCTTTCTAAGGAAGTGCCATATCATTTTCCAAAACGGTTGTATCATTTTGCATTCCCACCAGCAGTGCACAAGAGTTCCAATCTCCCTGCAGCCTCTCCAACATTTGTTATTTTCTGTTCTTTTGATTTACGTCAGTAAAGCCGGGGTGAGATGGTATCTCATTGTGGTTTTCATTTGCATTTCTCTAATGGTTAGAAATCACAAGCATTTCCTCATGTGTCTGTTAGACACTTGAATGCCTTCTTTGGTAAAGTATCTGTTCATTTCCTTTGCCATTTTTTAATTGGGTTATTTGTCATTTTGTTGCACAGGTGTTGGATATTCCTGTAGACTTTAGAGATTAGAACTTTGTCGGATTTGTAACAGCCAAAAATTTTTTCCCAGTCTGTAGGTTCTCTTTTTAATCTTTTGGTGAAGTCTTGTGATAAGTGTTTAATTTTTTAAAAGATCTCAGTTATCTAGCTTATCTTCTGGAGTTTGTGTGTTGTTAGTTGTGGTTTGTATCCTGTTAATGCTGTGTATCAGGGCCTCTAGTGTTGATCCTATTTTTTCTTCTATGATTTTTATAGCTTTAGGCTTTATATTTAGGTCTTTGATCCATTTTGAATTAGTTTTTTTATATGGTATGAGGTATGGGTCCTGTTTCATTTTTTTGCAGATGGACATCCA